CTTTGCGTACTCCCTCAAGCATTGGCCTGATAAGAAACGCCACTCCCGTCGGTTTTCTGTCCGTTAGTATTTCAGGCCAACCAGGTGGGTTGAATGTCCGAGACCTGCGAACTAGGCCCCGGGTGGTGTGGCGAGCCACATCAGGACCAACAATGTTTCTGCATCCAGCAAAATGACAATTCAAATATACTCGGTCACCTCAGCCTTCAGTGGACTGCTAAGATGTTTGGTAATTAGCGGGCAAATCTTTCCAAAAAATGAGAGAACCATTTAGAATATTATGAGAACATTCTTGCAACTCTTGACTGTGCCTTCATATTCGCGGGAGGGGGCAATTTGAGAAGACCATCGAACCGTTTCGGGTCTGGCTCGACGCTTCCTTTAGACATTTCATAGCCCAGCATTTAAACTACTTCAGAGTTGAATACACCTGTTATGATTTGGAGTTGAACCATGTTTAGCAGCCGCCTGCAGGAACCGCTCCCGATTCATGATCCATGATTTCTTTTCCACAAACAGTAATATTGTCTACATTTACAAGGATTCCTTTGAGCGCTTCACGTCGAACAAGCTTATCCATCGTGCACTGAAAACAGGCGAAATCTGTAGAGGTTATTGCATGCTTCGAAAGCTGTTTTATGTTATTCGTTTTCCGTCATAGGCATTTGATGGTACGCACGCTCCAAGTCTAAGGTGCTGTAAATGCTGCATACGGCAATTTTTCCCACCAAGCCACCAATGTGGGGTAGCGTTTATGCCTCCAAAAGAGTGAATCGGTTAATTGTCTGACTGCAATCGACTACCATCCGTCGTTTCTGGTGCTCGTTGGTTGTAACCAGGACATGGAACCGTCACAATGATAGACAAAGTTCGAGTATTCTATCGTTCATTAGCCTAGCGACCTCTGAGTGAATATAATTGTTAGCTGTTAACTGTTTTCTCTTTTGTTCAAGTAGGGCGGCAAGAGGGATCCAGATGTGCGAAAAGGGAAGAAACCAGATCAGCGGCCGAGAAACTGCAGAGAGAATGGTGACTGAATTTCTTGGAAGGGTATTTCTACTGTTATGTGCCGTTGCAAAGTCTCAGTAGTGCGTCAGGGCATAAATAGGGGAGAACGGACAGTTTGATATTTTCGTACCGAGTACCTTGGTGTATTAGGAAGATGAAACAATGACCCTTGATTTAGTTTATCATACGGGTGGTAGCCAGTATATTCTTACTATTCGCTTCACTGTATTATGCTGTACGATGATGACATCAGACGTCAATTCCAAACGTTTGTTCCTGAGCACGATCTCAGATACATAACTTTCTGATCTTGTGTCTCGCAGGGCTTTCAGTGCTACTCTGTTGACTGTACCATCAGTAACAACCTTAGTAAGGCTCACTGGAGCTGCGGTATTCTTTAAGTTCACAGGAGCTCGGTAAACCTGTAATTGTCCGCGCTTACCACACGATTTGCAGGTTTCCTCTTTCGCAGGACTAGGATGTCGATCATAGCCACAGAAGGAGTAGCTTGTTGGGGACCCGACCAGTGTCGTCTCAGGTGTGTCTGATCCAGGGTGCTCGCAGTAGCAGGGAAGATTGAAGGAGTGGCCTAAGCGAATGTCTGAGACTGCTGCTGAATTAAATCGAGAGCTTTAGCTTTGTAAGCGGTACTGCCACTGAGTGCTTTTATTTTTGAAAAGCCGCTGACGGATAAGGTTTGGTAATAGCCCGCTGATAAACGCGTCGCGGATAGCGTCCTTATTTTGCTTTGCACTGACTGCTTTGAAATTGCAGTCTCGAGCAAGGTTTCTGAGCTTCTGCATGAATTGAGTACTTTGTTTCGATTTCGCCAGAAGATGACGCGCAGAAATTTTGTTCTTCATTTGCATGTATTAGCATTGAAGAATTGTAATGGCGGAATCATAATCAGTGCATCGTGAAGCGAATTTTTAGACGGTAGGAGACAAAAAGTGCATAAGGGTAATACGTCCATCTAGGGAGTCGAACGTATATCAGTGTTCCCAGGGATCAGCGCCATTTGGAGAATTCGGATCAGTGTCGAAACGATCTGAGCGTAGATGTCGGTCCCTCGTCTTTGATCGATTAAATTGTCGCTTGGTGAATTGTACGATTGGAGGGAGATTGTAGCGTAATAGATCGCAGATTTCGTCGATGGATAGACCAGAAGGCAACACCTTATTGATAGGCTCTAATCGACCAAAAACGAGACAAACAAAATGTTAGAAAATGCATCCAGTGTTAGAGCCATTTATGCAACGGAAAGGACGTTAGTAAATCTATAACAGTGTCTTCTTCCGGACGTCAGGAATACAGCTTGCGTATTGTATGATAGATCACCAGTGCTAAAACTTAACATGTCCGCGATTACATAGTGCACATTGTTCTCCTTGTATCTTGGTGCTTTATTTTTATCTTAACGTCTCTTACGTGAACAGATTCCAAGGTGATGAGCTAACCGTGTGTTCTCTGCTTTTCAGAAAAACCATTACACCTCGCCACATAATGCTGGGAGTACGCAACGATGCGGAATTGAATGAATTGTTGAAGCATGTTCACATCAGTCACGGTGGCGTTCTTCCTTGCATACATCCAACCCTTCTGAAACGCAAAGGAGGTTTGAGTGATTCATCAAGTGGTCCAATCGGTTCTAGCGTGCCCAATCCTGGTGTTTCTGCTCGCCAGGCAGCCACCACAGCTACTGCCGGAGCCGTTGGTACTGCTTAGAATGTTCCTGTGGTCATGGCGTAAATGATTCGACTCCCGGGATGTGTTGGCAGCTTCTGTTGAAAGTATCTTTCGTTCACTTACCCGCTCCGTTCAGTGTACATTTTCATGCTTACCAGACTCCATGTCCTTGTGACCGTGGTTCTTGTACTCCACGCTTCCGGCCCAATGGGAACTATCCGAAACGTCTGTTGTGTTCGTGTCACTGTATTTTATCCCTTCACATATACATACTCATTTGTTTTGGCCTGCAGAGAGGCTTCTATTTGTGGTGTACACTGCACTTTCCAACGAGTTTTTGCATTTACACCGGCTGCTTTCCAACTGTGCTGTTTGTATAATTCAGGGACTGTGTCACGACAAACCTTAACACTTTCTTCACTCTTACCCAGGCCTCAGTGAATTCGCATGCAGACTGTGTTGTTTATTGTGACCTAAGCCCATCCCGTCGCCCCCAACTCATGGGCTTCTATTTCTCTATATTCCGATAGGCTGTCGGCCGTTTTGTATTCGCCCGATTTCGCGTCTGTGCACTCCTACTTTGCCGACTGTATCCTGATCACACTGCGTTCCTGTTATGGATAGTATTGTATGATTGTCCTTACACTGTTTCTCCTTCCTACCTGTTTGTTTAGGTTATTCAAAATAGTAACTTTGCTAACTTCATTAAAGTTTTATAGAATAACCACTGTTTCACTCATGCGACTTCGGAATGGCTTGAGACGTCGATTTTATTCTTAAACACACCACGTGATAGGTAAACTGCATGGATCGAAAACAGATCAGACTTACTTGTTCAGTTTGCGAGTATAACGGGAACAGAAACTGATTTTTTTCATTAAACATATTTGTGTGATGAACAGCAGACGGATTGGACTCCATAATCACGAAACCTACTGTTCAGTTGTGAAGACCGGTAATAGAAACCCCGGGACACGGAGTAGCGAACAACGTAGAGCCCTGCTAAATAAGCCGTAGTATTGAACCTGACGACAGCAGATTGGCGTGAGGAAAATTACCAAGGGAGGGATGGTACTATTCAAATCGTTTTTACCGTTGTGTGATCTTTGATCGTGGACTGAAGTGTGATTTCTTTTTTGTGTTCTCTCTTTGCGTAAGAACACGACTGTTCCAAATAAGGTTATCTTCAGCTACTCGTTGAATTCTTTGAAAGGAGAGCTATGGTTGCACATGAACCAAGGGTGTAGTGAATTGTTATGCGCGGCCTAGTGTTATAAATCCACAAGACAGGGCCGGAATGAGGGCAATTATTTATTTACAATAACGGTCTGGGTATCGGTAAATTGGCATACATATAACGAAATGTCTCATTTGGAACGAGTCTTCAGAATTTCCGTGCACAGGATATTTGACGGAACTATCCAGCGGTAGATTCGCATTGTTATAGTTACCATACTGAAACCAGCAATTCACTCCAACTGGTTTTGTTAATCTTTGACCGTCGAAAGAAACCGCCAATCGCATCCTTTTGCGAACTACTCACAAGTGTGAGTAGTACTGCACGACACTAGTGACCAGACAGTATTGTGACGGGTTGTTTCACTAGTGGGGTGTTAAATGGAAAAGGTGAACTCCTACACCTAGCTACTTAGTGAACACCGAGATGCCTAGGACGGACTCCAAATCCTATGCGAAACCAATCCGTTTAAGCCGGTAGTCGCATATGAGGCCTAAGTCCGCGCTGGAATACGAAAAGCGAAATTGTTTCCGTTTGACAACCATAAACCATGCACTTTTGTGCGCTGGTTTTGGTTACTGTCTTTTGGCCGCCCATTTAGATAAAAGAGTAGGATGAAGATTGGAAGGTTGAGAGTAAATTCATGCGGAAGATAGAGAATCCACACAGACTAGGGTTGCAAGAAAATTGAGCACATGTATGAGTACCACTGTTTGCAACATTCAGCCATAGCACCACCAATGACCATGATCTCGGGGTCCCCATCAAGGGAGCCAAACGGGACCTATGTGACCGAGTCTCCTAGTAACGGTTTTCATACCCTCATGCCAGTTCTTAGTTTGACCGCCCTTGACATTTTTCCGTCCACTACTTGCTTCGGCAAACATCGCTTGCCGTGGCAACCTATCTGGTGACATGCACAACAGATGTCCCAACCGGAGCAATCTATGGAGGTCGACTACTTGCTGCAGTGGACGACCACGATAACCTGAAACTCTACGGCTTACCTCAGTATTGCTCGTCCAGTTACCCCTTCAGACTCGTGCAATGCGGCGTAGACAGCAGTATACGAACGCCGACAATCTATTTTTGTTCCGTTCCCGTAGAGGCCAAGTCTGCGCCGTAGAGCAGCACCGGCCGAACTGCTGCAGAATATACTCGACCCTTCACAGATAGCCGGATGTCGTGACGGCGCCACAGATGTTTCAAGTTGGCCAATGCCAATCGAGCCTTTTGTATGCGCGCCGGCACTTCCTCCGTGACGCGTCCGCCAGGTGATATATAGCTGCCCAGATTACAAAATTTCTCTGCTTCCCCTGTCAGGCTGAGGTTGGGGGCTGGACCAATCCAGTCTTGTAGCAATATGTTACACTTTGAAGGTTCTAAACATACCGAACATGGCTACACTAGCACTCAAACTATGCGGAACCGCTTGTAATTTACATGGAGGAGTCTTGAGGACCAACAGTGCAAATCTGCTTTGTTTAGGTGGAGTTATAAGTACTCAAGGGCGATCACGGGAGCATGTCTCCGGATAAGCCTCCTCTGTCTTTTTTATCGGTCAGACAATAGGTGGAAAAGGTCACAAGTAGTAAACTTAAAACCCCACATTAAGGTACTAAAACATTGCCCAGGGGACTCGTTCATCTAGGTCGCGTTAGATTTCCTCTTCAGAGACATCGGGATCATAACGGTGATGGGACAGAGTATCGTCAACGGTGGCGCTCGTGCATTCGCTCAATTGATGTCCGAATTCTAAATCCTCACCTTCCACCAACTTAATTCCTTTCTCTACCCTTTCATCTAAAAGGACTGTCTAAGTACGGTAACCGAATGCCACTGCATGAAAGAGCAAGGCCTATGGTTGTGGAGTAGACCATTTCTGAGGAAGGGAGTCAACTTCTTTACTCGACGACAAAAGTGCTACCCAGCTTTGCGTACTCCCTCAAGCATTGGCCTGATAAGAAACGCCACCCCCTTCGGTTTTCAGATCCGCCACGACTGAAATTGCGTCTTTGTCGCTATTCTCTTTTGGGACAAGAAGAGAAAAAGTAACAGGGCCTCGACGAGTCCTTTTTCCAGTATAAAAATTGTGTAAGGTTGAACTCTTTGTCTCCTATTCCTACGAAGGTATCGTGAAAATGCAACGGAATTACTCAGCCTATTGTTCCCCGCTTGCGTTTTGTACGATCGACCAAAGCTAAGTTACCTTCTACGTTAAGGGCCGAACTGCTGCAGCTGCTATACGGTGCAGGGTCTTAGCCTTTGCTGGAACAGAAACAAGATAGATTGTCAGTGTTCGAACACCGCTGTCTACGCCACATCACACGAGCCTGGTAGAGTAACCGGAGGATTGGATTGGATTTATTCGAGAATGTACTATAACCCGAGCTCAACCAAGAGATAACGACAAGGTAGCCGCCTTGTTTCAGCTGTGTCTGTGGCCATTGTACTGTACTGTATTGTACTGTGAAGTACATTGGCCTTTTCAGGGGACCTCTTCGGGTAAATGTTACACGACCATAGCCAATAAAAATATTTAGTGGCAGGTGTGTTGATCCAACGCTCCGAGACGACGCTAGCCATGGAGCCATAATATACAATTCCAGAATAACCAATGGGAAGCCGGTGTTCTGGATCAATAAAAATCCACAGAAACAGAAATCATGTCACAAGAAGAACGCGAAGAGCGCTTTGTCAATACGAGCTCAGCTATTGATATTACCTTTAAATATTTTTTATTTCCCTTTGGTTTCTTTCAATAAACTAACCGCTGTTTCTGTGGCTTTAGTCCTATTTCACGGTGTTAGAAGACTTCTGCATTTGATTACCACTATGATGCCGATCATGTTTGCGATTCCTGTTCCGCGCATATTTCGAATATTACACGAGTCACATTCACAACTTCCCAGTGATGTTGAAAGGCACATGTGTGGTTTTCGTGAGGTAACACTTTGTCAAGCGTTAAACTTGCCGTATCCTGGAGCGCCGCCACAAAACGTTCACAACACTCTATTCATCGAGGTTTAGCTCACCTTGCTCGTTGATGGCCTCGATTCGGACACCGTGCCTTTACTCATTGAATGAGGTTGTGTTCAGTATCACATACTGCTCTGCTCATCTGAGCATGATGCAAACATATAATTGCCTGTATAAAGCGCATTCAGGTTAGCTATTGGCACAGTAGGCACAGAAGGTGAGCATTATAAAGCTAGCAACAGTCAACGGTAGAATCGTAGCTGAGTGGAAGGCCAAATTGAGTTTAGTACTGAATTTCATTAAATGCCATTGAAATGATTATGTATTCATCCAATGAAATATCTGAACTATTCTGAGATATAGTTCAAAAACATTCTCAAATCCCCAATAAAAGCAACCTATTTAGGTGCACATTTAACCATGTTTCTCATCTATCTATTCTATGGGATGTAATTCGACAGTTGAAACTGTTGTGGCTCGCAGTCGAGTGATGTGCCCATCACGTGATTGACCGTTGCGGCCCGCCACCACACGCATGTACACACCTCATGCGGACTTACTCTGTTACAAGGTCAATCCGCTGAGGCGGATCAGAGGCCAGTATTGAACTGCCCACTTGATTGGTTCGTTGACTGCCCATCGTGATGACATACTCCTTTAGGTAACACGCGCCAGTTTGTGCCTGACTGTCTGCGTGTTGAGGCACTACTTGCTCACCGGCTTACGGACCGGCTACGTTTGCATTTGCATACTGGAAATCGAATAACTACTTCACTCACTACTTGTGTACGTATGGATTTATACGGGATACAACAGAAACCAT